AAGGAAGATTTGCCCCTCGGCCGGCGCCAGAAGTAGGCCAAGAGGCCGCTCTTCCTTCTCTTAGCTCTATGCTCCGCGCGCGGCGCTCTGGCCCGCCGCCGCGCTGCTCTCTATGATGGCGCCGCGCCTGTTCCCTTCCGCTTCCGGTCTCGGGGAGACGCGGGGCCGCCAACCATGGCCTTCTCGTCCCGCTTGCTCCAGGGCATCGGCACCGCGGTGGGCGTCCTGGTCGGCGGGCTGCTCCTGCTGCAGATGTGGCCGTCCGACGAGGAGCGGTCGGCCAAGCTGAGGAAGGTGAGGGAGGCCGGCGGGGCCGTGCCCTGCCGGAGCCCTTGCGGGGCCGCTGCGGGCGGCGTTGGGGAGGCTCAGGGGGGCCAGGCGCCTGGCTTGGCCTGAGGCCGCCCCCTTCGTTGCTGCTTCGAAACACGGGGATTAGCGCCTCGCGTAGGATCCTATCCTGAAGCATGAGGACTAGTGCCTCACCTAAAATCCTATCCTGAGGCATGAGGACTAGCGCCTCGCGTAGGATCCTATCCTGAGGACTAGCGCCTCATGCTTCAGGATACCTTACCTAAGATCCGATCCTGAAGCATGAGGCCTAGCGCCTTACCCAAGATCCTATCCTGAGGCATGAGGACTAGCGCCTTGCATAAGGCTAGCATCACGTTCAGGGCGCCTCTCGAGTGGTTGAGATTTCCAGACAGGAAAGAGTGGCTCTTGCAGAAAGCGCTGGAGGCATCTGGCCATGGGGGCGCTTCTGGACTGCAGCTCCCGGTAATCCCAGCCAGTGTGGCCACCCTGTGACCGATGCTGGGAGTTGTGGGTCAGTAACATCTGGGTAGCCCCAAGTACCCAACCACTGGAAAGGAGATCTGACCCCCAACAGATTGGCCCTCCTTTCACGTATTCTTAATCTTCTTTCCTCCCAACGGAACACACCCGTTTGATCCCATAAAACAGCTCAGATTTTTCTTATATTACGAGGGGCAAGTCTTTTTTCCACCTGAGGTGGGTCCTTAGATGGTGTGCAGATCCCCAAACCGGGAATGCCTTAAAACTTGGGTTGCCTTTCTCACATCTTCGTTCTCCATGCAGGACTTCCCAGAACCCGGTCAGTACTATTCAGAAGCACAACGACAAAATGCCATGTTCATGGAAATCCTGAGAGAGGCGGCGATGTCAGATGAGAATTTGGCCCGAAAACCCAACGCTTGGAAAAAGTAGCAACAGCTATGACTCAGAAAGCGTTTTAGCTATCTGGATTGCTTGGAAGCCTTCTGCTCTGACCTGTTTGCCTCCGAATTTGAAAAGATTGTTCCTCGCAGACGCTTCCTCAAAGCGATGCAGAACGTTGGTGACTCTGTAGTGGAAATGGCATTCGATTTTCTTCTTCGGCCCGTTTATTCCTTGGGGTCCCTTCCACGGCTTGCTTGGTAAGCTGTCTTCATAAATTAAATGGCACCTTGAGTGTTCCTCGTGGGACTTGTGTGTGAGCTTGGGTCTTTGAATTCACACGCCGTGCTAAAACAAAATACGTTTTGCCTTTTTCTAGCTTAGGGTCTGGTTTGTCCTGGTAAGTTGGTCTGGAAATGGATGAAGAGAACAGAAGTGCTTCTGATCAGTTAGTTTATTGTAGAAAAACTAAGGAAGTGTTAGGAGAGGATTCCAGTGAGTGCTGTGTATTAAATGCGAGCCTTATTTATGGATAAAACCAAGGTTCAAATTCTTTTCACCCTCCTCTCACCCACTTGATGTAACAAACAAAATCTGCTTTCTTGGGGGCAACAGGAATGATCTTTTGTTTCGGTAACAGACTGATCTGGTATCAGGCTGTTTGGTTGTGTTAGTTTGGCTCTCACACTCAGCGTGTTGAATAAATGCAGCGAAATGTCATTTATTTAGTGAACCATGGTTAAATAACCATGGCGTACCCTGATGTGTAAACTCAGTCTTGGTAACGTGTGTGGTGTGTGTGTGTGTGGGGGGGGAAATTTGGCAATAGATAAAGATCTGGATTTAATCCTAACAGGACAAGCTTCATCAAAAGCCTTTGCAGAGTTGCTTTTACATTTTAAGTGAGTTGGTTCCAGGAAAAGTGAATTAAAACCTTATTGCAGCCTTTTGCCTGCCATTTTGTGATGCTGCATAAAGGCATAATTGGATGAGGAGAAAAGAAGAAAAAGCAGGCACGGGGGAAAAAAGATTTTCTCCAAAATATTAATACATATATATGTAAGTTCAAGACTGGCCTATCTATCATCTGTCTGTCTGTCGATCATTGTCTATCTAAATAATCAAGACTGGCCATACATGTGTGTGTGTGTGCATGTGTATGATTAAGACTGGCACTTCAAGTCTGTTATAAACATTTTAATCAATTTACTCAATAATGGGGAAATTAAGCATATCATTTGGTACATGCAGCCCAAATTTCCTAAGGCTCCTTTAGATGGGACTTGTGATAAAATGCTTGTTTTTACATAGCAGGACAAGTTAAGAAAGAATGTTAGGTTCCTCATACATTGATTTTTTTTTTTTGGTCAATTTATTTTATTTTTTAAATTTATGTTACTGATTTTTTTTTCCAATTTTCACAAAGCTGGCATTATTTTTCAGAAGACATTAGGGAATATAGGAAGCACTTCCTTAAAGCAAGACAGTGTAGCCAAAGAATAGGAAACAACAGAATTACCAAAATAATCTAATTCATTGAAAACATCCTCTGAGACTGCCTTTTGAAACTTCCTGTAGATACAGGTTATTTATTTATATATTTATAAACACATAGTTGCTTATATATTGATATAAATGGTTTGCCTAGTGTGGTTTAATAACTTATTATTTATGTCTTTATAAATAGTTACTTATATTTTTATGTAAGTGGCTTACCTAGTTAATTATCATAGCTGCAGTTTAATAACTTATTTATATATTTATAAATATATGGTTATTTATATATTCATATAAGTGGCTTACCTAGTTAACCTAGCTGCGATTTAATAACTAATATTGCTAATACATATTTGGGTTCCTCCCCCCCCCCCCCCCCGTTTATTAGAAATTACATGTTATACTTCTTCCAGATGGGTAATTGTGTTAATTTGATCCCGGCAAGAATTCTGTGAGTCCGTAAAAAACTCAGCGATTTATTTCGATTTAAACAGGCGCATATAGTTCATTTCAACTAGGGGGGAACTTTGGAGAAGTTATTAAGCCCATATCTGCAAGGGAGATAAAAAAGAGAAATGAAATGAAATCGAGAAGGTGCGGCCAGAATCATGAAAGAGATGCCGATCGTGGCCCAAGCACTGCGGGGTTATTTTATTTCAGTATTCAAGGAAAATACGGCCGCAATAGAGTCAAATAGGCAGGGTTTTTTCCCCCCAAACCGGAACTTGCGACAAGGAGCGACGTTGCCTCGCCGGACGTTTATACAGGTCGGACGCTCCTGGGCTCTCCGCCGGCGACCTTCCCGCGGTTCCGGCGGCC